TTGATTATTGATTGAAGACCATTTCTTATCACACTAATATTATAAATGCGAAAGTTTGTGAGTGTGTGAGTGTGTATGTTTGTTACTTCTTCACGTCTAAATGGCTGGAGCGATTCTAATAAAATTTGGTATGAAGTTAGCTGACACCCTGGATTAACACATAGGCTACGTTTTACTGCGGGAAAATATACCTAATAAACCGCGGGTAACACCGCGTGGCACAGCAAGTAATTTATAAATTGAAAATTCGCTGAACTTATTGTTTCCAATTTATTGAATTGAATGAGCGTTAGACATCAACCCTATTTACGGCTGACAAGCCATCGCAAGTCTAAACTACAGACTTGCGACAAAAGAAACCATGTTTTCAATTATAAAGTTAAGGCAAGAGATGCCAATAACAAGACTTTGACGAATAATAGTTCGTTCTAATTGAATAGCGTTACAAGCAACCACGAAATCAACAGGAAACTTTGTTTTAATGTAGTTGTTCTTGACTAATTTTAAGAACAGAGTACCTTAGCTGAGTGAGAAGAAAATTTTCTCTTACTTAAACTCATAATTATCAACAGGATTAAAAAGTACCTTATTGAATGCATCAAATTCAATTAGAGGTAACTTTGAATATCAAACCTTTCGCGATTTTTCACTTTGATTTTTATTCCCGATAACAATTCACAGACTCCCAATAAAATAACCATTAACCTTACTATTTTAGGGTTCTGTTTCCAATAGAAAAAAAACCCTTGTAAGATCACTTTGGTGTATGTTTGTTTGTCAGTCAGAGCCAATGTGCTCCGAAACCATTCGACTTTTGACGACCTCGACCTCGACGACTCGTGAGGTCCCGGGTTCGAATCCCGGTGGGGGCAGATGTTTGTGTGATGAATACGAGCATTTGTGCTCCAGTCATGGATGTTTAATACGTATTTATATCAAATCAGAAATCAATATATATTTATTCAAATTGGATGTAAGTAGTACAACTCTTTTGAATCGTCCAAAAATTTTTTTTCTCTACCACTCGTTATGGACATCTATATATATAAAAATGAAACCCGTTTTCCGTTGTCACGACATAACATGAAAACGGCTTGACCAATTTGGCTGATTTTTTTTTAGAATATTCCTTGAAGTACGAGGATGGTTCTTACGAAGAGAAAAATTAAAAAAAATGCCTGAAAATGTCAAAAAACAATACTTTTCTTTACTCCCATACAAACGATTCGTAATAATACTTAAAAGTCAATTTGAACTTTAAAACCATACCATAAATTTCAAATGTTAGTGGAGAGATTCTGGGAAGGCAAAACAATTGAGCGACGTGATGTCAATAGAAGTTTGGAAAAGATAAATATACCATCTTCAGTTTTTTTATAATCTATATATATATAACTCAAAGGTGACTGACTGACGTAGTAATCTATCAACGCCCAGCCTAAACCACTGATGTTATGACGTAGGCATCCGCTAAGAAAGGATTTTGATCAATTCTACCCCCAAGGGGATAAAATAGGGAATGAAAGTTTGTATGAAACTTTGTCAATTTTAAAACCGAACGGGCTGAGACTTTGCATGCAGGTATAAGAATAATCATAGATGAATGTCATTGTGTATAAAACAAGCCTGAGAACAAAAACTGTAGTCTACGCTTCAGCTCTACACCGAAGCGAAGCGAGGGCGGGCCGCTAGTATTTTATAAATATACTTATATATGTACACTATATGTATTCTATCCGTTACCATATAGTACAGTCAATCTGTCGAAAAAAATATCGTTTCAGTGAAAAAAAACCTAAAGGATAAGTCTTGTTTTTTCTGTTGCTAAATGACGTCAGTAAGCCACCTTGGCGATGGGCATGTTCAACGCGTAGGCGTTTTTTGAAAAACTTAAAAAACCCCTCAAAAATTTATTGAAACGCATTTTTCTTGTTTTGTATGCATTTTAGAAACTTTTTTTTCGGCCATAATTGTAGAGGGCGTTGAGTACTACAATTTATGTCATTGTTGCAATATCGTACAACAAAAAATGCGCATTGTAGGTGGCGCTAAAGTCTCAAAAAAAGTGTTTTTTCACTTTATCACCCTGAAAATATCATTTTAATGGAAAACTTTAAATCGAAAAGTTGTTCCGTACATAATTACCAACAACTTTTGTATAAACAATATTTTTGTATTACTTACCGAGTTGAACATGCCCATCGCCAAGGTGGCTTATTGACGTCATTTGGCAACAGAAAATACAAGACTTACCCTTTAGGTTTTTCTTTCATCACTCAACCTACAGATTGACTATACTACTAGCATCCCATAACACAAGCCTTACACTGCTTACTTTGGTTCTAGGCTAATTGGTGTGAGTGTTGGAAATATTTATTTCTTTTATTTATATATTTGTCGAGTTTTATCAATTATGTAAATCGGTGGCCAAAAACAGAACACGAATAAATAATTTTATACTATTAATATATAATTAGAGGGAAGGGGGGAGGGACGCCCTAGTTGAACAAAAAGGAGATTGCTCAGCTTCCATACATGTTTGGCCTAAAGACCAATAATCATGAAAAATTGTTTCCTAGATTCGAAATTATATATAAATTACTGTAGAAACGAATATTAAAAAAAAACATCCCCAGGTTGCATGCAGGAGAGCTACCCTAAAAATTTTTGTTTTCAAAAATTTATTTTACCATTTTGTCGGCGTGATTGATATACATGTCTCAAACAAAATTATCAGACAAAATTACAGCTCTCTAGTGCTATTAGTCTCCGAGTAAAACCGGCGAGGGACAGACGGACATAACGAAACCATAATTATTAATAATTTTATACATTTTAAAAACCGGCCAAGTGCGTGACGTACCACGCATAGTGTAGGGTTCCATAGTTGCCTGTAGTTAACTCAATAAGTTTAAACAGGAGTCTTTATTTTCTACATCGGAATTAAGAAAAACCAATTAATATCAATCTATGTATCTTAAATAAAATACCTAAATCATAGTCAAACTGCATCTTAAACTCAATTCGATATTTAAAAAAAAACTAGCAAACCAGTGAACTGAATGTCCACCAAAACCTGATTTAAAAAAAAATGTATTTAGTTTCGTTTGAAATTCGTGATTTCTCGAAAACCGGAAGTGCTACGTTACTCAAGTCCGGTTTGTAGTCTTATCAGACTACTCTTAACTTATAACTTAAATATTCTCTTTATCTATCTCTTACGGTTTGGCCGCTGAAACAGCACCACAGACGGACGGACGGACTAGTCTAATAGATAAGAGATAATGATAACCGCCCATTCTTTTTTGTCTCCCAGGTGGAGCGGGTGTGAAATCCTCATGAATTCCCTACAGCCGGCTGCAAGGTTATGTCAGACTCTTACTGATTATAACCTACATCTAAAGCGGTTATCCCTTGAGGAGGGGATAATGCGGTTTAACCGCCGATTTTCTCAAGTTTTTTTTTATGTTATAGGGGGCATACGAGCAGACGGCTCACCTGATGGTAAGTGATCACCGTCGCCCATGGACACTTGCAACACCAGGAGTATCACAAATGCGATGCCGGCCTTTAAGGAAGGAGTACGCTCTTTTTTTGAAGGTTTTTAGGTCGTATTTTTTGTTTCTTAGGTTTTCACGCACATCACTCATTAAATAAAACTAGTTTTTACGGGTTAATGCACGAAACTTTATTTATTTATTGACGTTTCGTAGCCTTTACAGGCTTCGTCGTCAGAATAAAACTTTTATTTAATTTGTCGAGCTACCTTCGAAAGATTTTTATTGAGCGTTTGGTTATTTCATTGTTCGATTTTTAAGTTTTATTGTCTATGTATGAATTTATTATTTAAATTACTTAAGAAAGTATTTTATTTAAAAATTTTTTTTGTAATTTTGAGTTTATTTATTTGACCCTAACTACCGTAAACTACCACCGGTTCCAAAATTGGGAGACCTTTCTGAGAAGAACCGGCGAAACAAACTCAAGAGAGGCTTTCTATCTCCTTCGTCGTATTTTTTTAAATTTTTTTTACAAGTGCTTATATACTTTTTATAAAAACGGTATTTAGCGCGACTCAGAACCCGTTGCTGGTGGTACTCGTGGTACCGTTGTGGAACTAATATTAATATTATATTTGTTTTACATGCGATATTTTATTGTAGTTTTTTTTTAGATTTTGTTGCAATTCAAGGTTTTACGCTACAACAACTTCATCTATGTCACTATTAATGTCTTCTATGGTTTTTTTTTAACTAAAGTTAAATGACTTTTACTCTTAAACTAACAAGTCTATCTTAACCGTTATAATTTTCCTTAAAAGTTCATCATCATTATCATCAGCCTATTAATGTCCCCTATGCTGGGGTACAGGCCTTCCCAATGGATGGAATAGTGAGATTGGGCCATGACCCACCACGCGGGCCCAGTGCGGATTGGTGGGTGCTACCGACTGCAGATGCAGCCGGGACCAACGGCTTAACGTGCCTTCTGAAGCACGGAGGAGGTCGAGATAGTAAGTTTTGGTCACCCATCCAATGACCGACCATTGCAAAAGTTGCTAAATTGCAACGATTTTTTCTAGGTTTTTGAAGCCAATAGTTTAGCTTTTAGAGGGAAGGGGGGAGGGACGCCCTAGTTGAACAAAAATTTGTACTTTAAAGTTCAATATTTCGCAAACAGATCCCTAAATCGAAAAATAGTCCAAGGAACCCCTATGTAATTTTAAAGGACCCATTCAACGATATCCCACACGATGGGGTAGATGATGAAAAAAATCATCCCCAGGTTGCATGCAGGGGAAGACACCCTAAAAATATTTAATTTTAAAATTTTATTTTACCATTTTGTCGGCGTGATTGATATACATATCTCCACAAAATTACAGCACTCTAGTGCTATAAGTCTCCGAGTAAAACCGGCGAGGGACAGACGGACATAACGAAACCATAATTATTAATAGCATTTTCAGTAAATGAATATCCTATTGATGTTGATTGTAACTAGGGACGGGGGGGTTGGGGTACAAAGGCGTCATTGCACTTCGTCTGAAAGCAATTCATTTTGTTAATTTAATAATCCTCGGGTCATTATTATAAGTGAACGTGAATAAAGAAAGCTTAGTGCCCCACGTTTAGGTGGCAATGACCCGCCTGTTCGTGGAAAAACGATTCGTATTCAAATTAATGAGGATCCATAAAGATTTTAGTTGAGAATGCAGATTTATAGAGCTAAAGATTCTATAAAATACAGTGGTAAAATTTTTATTCTACGACAAATATTGACGAAGTGGTGATCAAATTACTAAAACGAATTTTCGGCTGGCCGCGTAGTGTCTGTGACCTCACAGAGCAGGGCTTGTTTACCGGTTAATTTTCAAACCTAAATCAGTGTCAAGTACATTAGTAGCATTTTATTTAGGTTTGGCTCTACCTTAACCTTAAAAAACCGGTTTTCCTAAAATTGGTTTTGAATCATTTTAGCGGTTTTTAAAGGGTTTCATTTCGCTCTTACTGACGGCATTGATAATAAATGACTCACTTGACTCACTAGACGCTAGCAAACGTGTCAATAAATGCATCAATCTCTGAGCATTAACAAGTTGTGACTTGATTAGTTCAAACAAAACAAGCTTCAAGCGATGCCGATTAAACCGGTTTATTAAGGTTTAGGTACTGCTTTCATTTTCGACGCGCTCCGAACGAAACCTTGACATAAAACCGGTATTAACCTTTATATACCGGTATTTTAGAAACCGGTTTCAAGCCCTGTCACAGAGCTCTAGCGCTCAGGTGCGAGCGTTGGTAGAAGCGCTACTGAAGTTCGGCCGGAGTGAACCACGATCGAGCTCTGTGACGTCACACGTTTCGGTCGCCGGTAAATATTGACTACCATAAAATTAGTTAGAAAATCGCAACGAATGAACCGATTTCGATGATTCAAAAAGTTTATTCATAATAAAGCTTATTAGATCATTATACTGTTCATTTTGAGTTGATTTGCTGTAATGATCCTCATTGCAATGTCGCCTCTTTATGGCCGCAATTACTTCTAACCTCATTACCTGATCGATCTGATTGATCCCTTGAGGCTTTGTTCAGACGACACGTTTAAGATACGCCACGTAAAAGGCTTTCTAAATTGTTGCATAAATTTTTGAGAGAGACACAATAAATAATCTCAATGTTAAATTATTAAAGTCTAACGCACGTCTTACAAATGCCATGCACTCGCGGTACGTATAGGTGTACGCTTATAATAAAAATTTAGTTGCAACATAAGGTTTCTTAGATAAATGGATTAAGTGTCGCCGTACACGGGCCACCGACCACAACCACAAAACGTTGCCACCGGCATATTTCTTGTAGTTTTCATACATTTTATATGGACTCGCCACACACGATACGCCGGTGGCCGCCACACTCTACAAATCGTCGTTGCTCGCTTCTTGTGGCCCGCAGTCCCGCACCGGCCACGTAAGCGCCGATACAAAACGCCGCCACACGTCACTCGCGCGATTCCCCACCCCTCTCTCCCTTACCTTAGTCGGCCGCTGTCGCGCGCTTCAGCCACTTTAGTAGCCGCTTCTAGCTTCTCGTGGCGGCGTTTGTGGCTGTGGCGTGTGGCGCGTGTGCGGCGACACTAATATGTAAATATCTTTAGAGGTCTTTCTTACTCGGTTGAGAATGTAGTGAGCAAAAGATTTTTAACATTAAAAATTATTTTTTTTGTTCACTCCAGTAGGCCCCCATTTTCGCTGAATGCGACACCCGCCCGTGATACTTCGAGGTTTAGGGCCACCAAGACGTATGGGGGCTCAAAAGACGCAGAATTTGAAGGGCTATTGTAAAAATTAGTATCGAAAAAAAAAAGCTACTTTTTTCGACCGAAAAATCACTTCCGATATATCGAGCACGGGGCCGAATTTTAAAAATATGAAAAGAAAAACACCTCGATATTAAACCAAGGAACATTTTAGGTCATTACACTTTTTCGATATTGGTGACGGCTGAGGCTGTAGAGGTAGAATTTCTTCTTCTAGTTAAAAAAAAGTCTGAGACAATTTGTTTATTTGTTTTTCTATAAATAGCAAAATCGTTTCCTAGCCCACTCGGAACATGGCGTGAAATCGCTGAGTTGTGTACTGTTTCAAAACAGGCAGTTAAAATTCTGTTCAGGAAGGAATGAAGTAGCCATGTTTGTTCCTGGAATATTAATTGTCTTTAAGCTTTGTTATGGAAATGCTTTAGTACATAAGAAGGTTAGAACAGAAACTTTAAATGTATTGTTATAATTTTGTGTTCGAATTATTAACTATTGAATTTTGGATTCAACTGTTGTATTCATTTTGAAAGTGAACAAAACTGATATTTAGAAAGTCAAACGACTTTTAACATTATTACGCTTGATTTGAGGCTGTGGCCGCACTACTAAGGCGAATGCGCCTCGATGGCGTAACGGAAAATAAACTCACATAAATATAAATGACGTTGGCCGCGCCGCAGAAAAGACAAGCGAATTTATTTTTATTTGAAATTTAAAATTTGCTACAAGATGAGAGTGTCCACATCTACTATATAAAAATAAGTCGGGTTTTCCTTCCTGACGCTATAACTCCAGAACGCACGAACCGATTTCCACGGTTTTGCATTCGTTGGAAAGGTCTCGGGCTCCGTGAGGTTTATAGCAAAGAAAATTCAGGAAAAATTAAAAAAAAAACTTCTTTTAATCACCAAACGAAATGTTACATAAAACGAAGCCATCTGGTGGCGAAACGGAGTTCGCCGGGTTTGCTAGTCAATTATAATAATGATGGTTGGGTCAAGGGGCAGATAAGAAAAAGGCAGTACTCCTGGACACAGCATACATCGTCAGGCGGTTACTTTCTCTGCGGCCCTAACCACCGGTAGCTTCGGCCTAGCTCCGCTGCTGGTAGCCTTTTAGGTTAGGTTTTTTATACTATATTTATTTTAGTATTTATGTTTTTGTACTTTACTTTTATATCTGACTGACGACCTCCGTGGCTGAGTGGTTTGTACGCCGGGTTTCATGGTGTCGCCGACTCGAGAGGTCCCGGGTTCTAATCCCGGTGGGGGCAGATGTTTGTGTGATGAATACGAGCATTTGTACTCCAGTCATGGATGTTTAATATGTATTTATATAAATATACTTATATATGTACAGTATATGTATTTTATCCGTTACCCTAGCATCCCATAACATAAGCCTTACAGTGCTTACTTTGGAACTAGGTTAATTGGTGTGAGTGTTGGAAATATTTATTTTATTTATTTATATCTATTTTATAAATAAACCTTACTATGAAATAAAATAAATAAGATAATAATAAAACTTTATTTCAGAAGTGTCCATAGTGTTGTTTTGTTAGTACCATTTTGCCCTTAATGTATGGTAGTAATACATTTCAATTAAATTAATATGTCTCTTAAGGAGGCCCACCCAATGCTGAGAGGCGACTCCCACCTCTCCGACAACACGCACAGGATGCTGTTGGGGCTGGCACCCGACTCAGTAGCGAGGCGCATCGCTTTCGGTCTTTGCCTCAACGGACATGCCAGAAGCACTACAGCGACGCGGCAGCCCCATCAGCACCCGGAACTCGTTGTTGTACTGTACACGGTAAGCGTTGCAAGCCCTGCAGTCAACCCCGAGACCGCACTAGTAAAATGATTGGGAGTATGAATTAATAAAAGTCAATTTATTTTCTGAAGCATTTAAAGTTCAGCAAATATTTAGACAACAAAAAGGTGTGGATATTGTAAGGAAAGACGTCATGGATCACATCTTTTATATATATTCTTTTCTTATTTCGTAATAACTACTGGTCTTTTATTTATTTATACTTTTAAAATTGTAGTGTGCCTACATAGTATAATTTGTTATTTTGTATAATTTAAATAATTGTTTTTTATATAATTTATGTTAGTTTAAAATATATATTGTAATTTCATATAAAGTATATAATTAAATTGTAATATAAAAATATCATGTTTAAATATGTTAATATTATATTGTAAAGTAAAATATATATTTTGGTCGACATGCGGACAAACATATTTCGCGTGCGCATACATATTCTTCTGCGCGAACGCAGGCAGCGGCCGCTTGAATCTAACCGGTCTCAGTGGGCGGGGCCTCCGCACCACTTGTTCCTGCGCGGCCGCGGCAGTCAGATCTTAGCCTCTGCTTTGTACGCTTGTCGCTTGTTCTTTCACTGTACCTAACGATCTCGACTACTTATCTACGTCTTGCTAAGCTTGAATGCAAACTGTTAAGCTAGTAGTAATAGTTAATGCGCTGTATTTTATCTCCGTACTTATTCATTGTGCACCTTCCATCTTGCATTAATAGTGTTTGCATATTTATTAGGATAATATTGTGTAAACAATAAACCGTGAGTATTGTGAACTTGGTTGCACTCATTTTACAACACCTGAAAAACTCACGCATCATCCTATAAAATTAATTAAACTATTAAAGACCTCATGTAGATTATGACTCTTTCCAAATAAATAAAAATAGAAAATGTAAAGGGAGGAAAAAACTTGCTGAGTTTCTTGTCGGTTCTTCTCAGACAAGGCCTTCTGGTAGACTCTTGAAATGATGGCATCAAATTTGACTTTCATAAGCGTGAAAATTGTACCTAAATGAATAAAGAAACTTTGACTTTGACTTCGACATTAAGCTAAATTATTCAGCGTCACGCGATGACACTTGGATTTCGTACGGCAAGCAGCAGAGGTGCAACGACGATTGTCACAATTTGCAACAAATATGCGGTGATGTACCTGAGCGGCCGCACTGCCTCGCAGCGTTTCAGTGCAGACGATCGCCAAACCTGCCCGGTGGGGCCAACTATTAAAGGTACCATTCCGTGTGACGCCCAGCTCCTGCCAGAATACCAACGCTGATACAGTGAGAAAATATTTTCTCACTGTGTCAGCAGAAGCTGAGGTAGGGTCCTGATAGGCCCGCTGAGCAGGCCTACGCGAGCCAGCGCCCTGCGCATGCTCGTGGCCCGCTCAAT